AGCCACCTGACCTAGAGGGCGCTTGATCGGCCTCTGCCCCGGTTATCGCCCTATCTACCATCGCGGTTAAACAATTCTCCACGACGATTTCTTGGGAGCCCTTTCTCCCTCCCTCCCTCCCGGCTACCGAACGCCTTTTCACGTGGTCCTGCCGGGACAAGGTGTTCACGCGCTGAACCTATTAGTCGTCCCATTCGAGATCGAACGTTGAAGATAACAGTAACGCCTCTCGCAAGACGGATCAGTGGATCGCGTGCCTGCTGCCCTCGCGGCTTCGATTCCGTGTTTCTACACCGAGCTCTTGCCGTGTTCAACCGTTGTCGGTCGATACCGGTGACGAGGCGTCGTGTGTGCCATACACCTTTCTCGTCTCGTGTGTATACACGGTGTCCAATTTAAATCGACCCCCCTCGAATTGTTGATGAGCTGTAACCTCGTGATGGATTAGTAAATTTGATTAGGAAAAAACGGTGCTATTTACAGCAAAAAATAGGTATATTTAAAATAGGGATATTTTCTAGAAATAAGTGGATAGATTAGATTATGAAAATGTATATAACTTTACACGATATTTAAATAATCAAATGTATATGTAAATGTATATAATTAAATTAATCACGTTAAATTTTATACCTCCTTGAAACTTTAATTTGAAACAATTGGCAGATATTCGGGTCGATTTAAATGAGACACTCTGTATATGTGTATACACGTGTATGATATATGTATGCAATTGTACGCTCTTGCGGTGTACAGGGCGAAGAATGCGACTTGTACGACTGTGGCACGCGTTTAGGTGTTCGCGAGCAACGAGTTGGTGACGAGATATATTGTGCATACGGGGTTGGAAGGTGGTTTCATTGGGTGAAGGGGTTGGAACACGCCGGCTTAGAGAGTTTTGGTCGGGAATCGTAACTGTTACGAGGGGTAAAACTATTCGAACTTGGCGATAACGTTAATGCAAACACGCGTAAAATCATTAGTGGCTGGGGTTCTCGTGCTCGTGCTTAATTCGTACGTCATTGTCTGATTTTGACGATCGATTCCTTGTGATCCTTTGGATTTACACATGTTCCTCGTTTAAGTGATTTAACGCGTTGTCGAATGATCATAATTTATGTACAACGTATCGTGGCACGAAAAGTTGTGCATCAAAAGTAAAGTACGTATTAGGATATATTAAATTCAATGAAATAATTCTTAACAAATATTTGGTTATATTTGGTTATATTTTTAATAATGAAAAAAGTCTTGTCTTTAATGTTTCAAATGAACAGAATTTGTTATAGTAATTCTCTTTATTTTCTCTTTTTCTAAATCTAATTTTTAAACATACTTATGTATATCTCGGTATTATAATTAAAATTAATTTCTAAAAAAAATTTCCTCGTCAATATTAAACTTTACGTATTCATAATTAAAAATCGAGAATAAGAGCGTAGAAAATAAATGACAAATTGTATCGTGGCGATTAAATCTAAAACGTTGCATTAAAAATTAAACGGGCCATATTCCTACGAGAATAGGGGCAAATAATTGTCCCTTTAATGTCTAAATAGAGCAATTTGCGGCGCTAATTAAGATTTAAAGACTGGTATAAACGAGCATCATATTATTGATATGTATCGCCACTCTGATAGCCGATAATTCACATCCGGTTGATCTGAATGCTCACCAAACGCGTGCACGCATGAAACATGCGCCCATACGGCGGCTACTCGTGATCGTGCAGATGTACAATCGTGTTCGGTCGCAATATTTGCTCGCGAGCAACGATGCGTGTTTGAATTATTCCTGGAATGATAATTAATAATAAATCCGAAACGATACGATGAATCTTCTCGTCAAATTATTCTGATTCTACACGAAAAATCATTATATGATGATCCGTGTCACGAAATATCATCGCCACTATTGGCGAAATTTATGATAGCAGATGAATTATATTAATTCATTTATGAAATAATAGAGAAATAGTGGAAAGTATTCTCTAATACGTATTTTTCTAATGATATTTTCAAGCAATGAGAATGAAATATCAAACACGATTAAAAGATAAAAGTATGTGCACGTTAGTTGATAAACTTAGTTGTCAACTTAAATCAATTTAAAACGTGGATCATTTTTATCGAAATCATCGACTTAGTGTGAAGTGAATTTCAAAAAATCTAAATGACTATTCGAAGAAACGAAAGCTTATATTCAATTGCAAAGCTATAGATTGACGAGGTTATATCAAATTGACGATCTTTGGAGGAGTACTCAAACAGAAAACGATAATTTTCCAAGATAAACACGGGTGGCGACATTAAGGTAGATCGTGGAACGTTAATCATGCAGGTGTTAATTCATGATTTCGATGGTTGGGCATACATCTATGTAAACGATGGACGTGCATTGGTAAGTCAATAGAACGTGCATCGTAGGCGAAGCTTATACACTCAAATTAACGATAATAGCACAAGGTAAACTTCGTCGGGTGCTTGAAATGTAAAAATGCAGTATGCGTGTGATAAACGTAACGTGAACAGGCTTAACATTTATTTCTCTTCGTTCTAATTTTTTAATTTCTATAATATTCTATACCAAATATAGATTACGCGTGTTGAATTATAATGAACATTCTTATTTTCTTATGTAAAGAGAAATATATGTAGTTCTTTTCTTTTGTGCTATTTTATTGATAATATCGAATACTTACTTTTCTTTTCTAGTTTTTGCGATAAAAATGGATGATTTGAGTAATTATGGTACAAAAGTTTTGGAAAAGAGTTTATATTAATTTAATTAAGAGATCGAAAATACAAAAATTAATCCAAGAATATTTGTTGAAGCTTATTTTTCAAATTAATAATAAAGATAGGATGAGATGGAGCATTCTATCTTTATCTTTTCACTTCGTTCAATGAAAAATTAAATTGTTTATAACTTGAATAATCTTCAACAAACAATTTTTGCATATCTACTTTATTTTATTTATTTCTTATTTTTCAGATTAACTGTTTAAGTTTTTTATCTATTCCATTTGAACACTCTGTATATGTTTTACGCCACTCGTGTTAACTCTTCTGAAGATAAAAATAAAAGCAATACATATATGCAACTACTACAAATCGAAATTTTCGTTCAACGTTTTAAAGCAATCCAATCACCGAGGAGCAATCTGGAACGGATTTTTTTTTTTTACTAATTGATCGCAAAAAGTACAGTCAATTCCCCATTGTTTCTTGAAAGGCAGGAAGCCGCGATCACGATGCAACAACACGCGATGCTTCGTGCAACAAACGATACAGCCTTTGATTTCAGCTTTTCCATTCTTATCGATGCTTCATACGTGTTTCTGACGTGTTTCGCATGAAACGAACTTTCGCGATTCTTGTCCACGATTTTTCAAACATCACGGACTAATTGAAAGTTAAAATTGCTGGGCACTCGGACTTCGGACTTCGTTTAACTCACGGTATTTTCTTTTTATTGTTTCGTTTTTTTTTAATTTAATTCGTTGAAATAAATTGTTATAAATAATATCGTTTTAAATAATAAAAAGTTATATATAGTTTATTATATATTTTATTAAATTTATTAGTATACATTCCTTTTAAAAAACGAGATAAAAGAGAGAAAAAAAGAAGATAGAAAAGTGATGTAATAATAATCCAACAAGTAGAGTAATTTTAAAATAATGAAACATAATCAATCACACACAGATATTCCATAAAAATAGAAAAAGAATTCAATGCAATATTATTTACATTCGTTGAATTGAAACATTTTCTATTAAAAAAAAATTAAAGAATCAATTAATTTAATCATTTTATCAATATTAAAAATTATCAAGCATATCTTGTCAAATCTATAAAACATTTTTCATCTCACAGTCAACAATTATCTTCATGTTACTTCCATTACAACAAGATCCTTCATTGTTTTCCCTCTTTAAGTTTCAAAGAATATCGTTTTTACGTGGACTGTTCTCAGTTAATGAGGATCTTTAGAAATGTGAACATATGTATAAGGAGCGAAAAGGGAACGAGAGGTTGGTCGTACGATGAGAAGGATCACCATTGCACATACAGTAGCAGGAGAATCCACGAAACGGAACGGAGGAACCAATTTCAGAGAAGTGGCTACCGACTAATGGCAATTAGGGGTTGTACGAGTGGCTGGTTGCGGCGGTGCATAAACGTACGTTGGAATTTACGAGGCAGACCGCGTGATGGGCAACGTGGTATTATGGATTGCGCTAAACACAACTGCTCTTTTGTTTTTCTGCGTCGACAGTTATTAAATTTCGACTAAGGAAGATAGCAAAATATTTCGTAAGTTTCAAGAATAGATGAACGAAGATGGGGATTTTCTTTTATTGATTTCTTTAAATCTTCTGAATGAAATTATACATAAATATTTTCAGATTTGATTTATTGATATTGTGAAAATTATGCATGTGACATTAAGGAGTAGAAATAGGAATAGGATAGAAAATATTTGATACTCAATATATTTAAGCAATTTTAAATATTTCGAATAGGATGAATAATTAAATTGGCAAGATATCACACTTTCTCATTTAGTATTTAATAATGTATTAGATATTTTCAAAGTTTTAATAAATTATTGAAATGTATATTCATTGAAAACAATATGATAAGATTATATAATAGTATGATAAGGTATATATAATAATAACAGTTTATTATAATTGATGTACGATCCTATTTTTCTTTTAATATAATATAATATTAAAATAAAAAATTAGAAATTTTTTCATAAATTTCTTTAGTAATATTATATTATGTTACATACATTATATTTCTCTTTTATTAACTATATTTGTTAATTTTATTTGATAAAATGTCAAAATGATGAAACGATTAATCCAAAACCAATATTGCTACAACTCGTTGCCGTCACATATACCTTATTCTGCGTGATTAAGGCGATCCAATATTGCATGCAATAATTGCAATCAATAGACGTTCCAAGATTTATCGCTGATGGAAATGGACAGGCGGTACATATATGCCTTTACTGTGACAGATGTATACGTTCCAACCTATGAATTTCCGTAGGCAACGCACAAGCGTTAATAGGAAATTCAATATTCTCTATCATTCATTCTGCAAAATTACATGATATAAGTAACAGTCAATAATTATAGTGAATTTTGCATATATACAAATTTATATATCAGTTAGAATGAATGGTATATTTTTAACAAAAAATAAAATTTAGAAATTACAATGGAGATTTACGAATTTTTATAACTATTAAAACACTTCTTAAACAATTGAATTAAAAATATTATAATTGATATCTTTGTGAGATAGTATTAATCGATACTCTGAAGAATTTTAATCATAATTTACTTGAAGAAGACAATTATCTATAACATTTACAATTAATAATAATTTATAAAATTATATTCTATTTTTATAAATTGTGCTGTTTATAAAATAATTATACAGAGAGCATTATGTACAATCTTTCCACCAAAAGTTCTTAACTATCATTCATTAAGGTACCATTTTTTCGAATCATTTGTCTGGGCCACAAAACATTAGCTGTTGGCGTAACTAAAAAATTAAATAATTAAGATTTATCGTTGTATTGCGTCGACAGGATTTCAAGAGGTTCTTTCATCGTGTAATATTTCTTCGAGCCTCTCTCATTCATTCACGTGGTCGTAAACGTCTTGAAAGACTCTCTTTAACCCTGAGCAATGTGATATCCTTGCATTACAAGATACGTACAGCTTCTTTGTTTTTGCAATTTCGAACGACGTGTTATCTTGTCTCGTGCTTATTATTAAATTACCTGAAACTTGATGATAATTCGTTAAATATAAATTAGAGAACATAGAAAAAATTTTTAAATATTTCATCAATATATGTTTCAGTGATAACGATAAAACTTTTTCTGAAGTCTGAAATAGATAGATGCACAATTATATTTTATTTGATAGCATGACATATCATCAATGACTTTCTAATATTTTTTCATGTTAATAAAATAAATCAATCACAACCAATTACCATTAATTACGACTATCGAATTACATAATTTAATGATGCATTTATAGACACAATAGACATCGATCACAGTGTAAAAATACACTGATAAAGACGTGAAATTGTCACACGAAGTTTAAGAACAGATCTGTTCCCATTCATTAAACGCGTTCCACCGATGTCTTCAAAAATTAGACATTCTCGCCTCATCGTCTCCTTGAATTCATTCGTATTATCTCAACACATGGAGGGCGACGAAAATGAGACGTCGGAATAATTTGCAGTTTTCACGAACGACAGAGCGAAGAGGATAAGTTCGAAAAGTGGTGGCTTTTGCATAAGTTGGTTAAAGTTAAGCTATTCAGAAGGAAAATTTGTTTTTACAACTAGGTGAGAGTTGGTTGTATAATAAGGTTTAAGTTAACTTAAGAGACAAGTTAGAAAATTGTGCATGAAATTTTTATTTGTATCCTTCTTATTAGAATGAATTTTTAACAATCCAGTTTTCTTATGATCTATAACAAATCATATTGGGAAATGAAATTTTCGTAATCCAAAAAATGAAATTATTTTATCACTTAAAGAAACACATGATTCAAATTTTAATAAAAAAGAAATTGAGAATCTTTCTTTTTTAGATCAAATGATGATTGGTTGACAAATTAAGAAAAATCTGTGCAATACAACTTTATTAACTTTGCCTAGAAATAGAAATTACTCGATATCAGTTTCGATCTCCCCCACAATCTAGCAAAAGTTTTGAGACTTTGAAGCTGAATTTTGAAGGAAACAAAGTTTTCTTGTTAGCCTGGAAGTAACTCAACGATGCATCGAAATTCATATTCGATATTTTTTATCGATCGACAACTACTTTCCACTGAGAAAGAAATCTCAAGAATGGAAAAACGGAAAAGGATGATTAACAAATTTGTCAAATACCAAAATTTGTTCTTCGATCGTCATTAATTGATCTCGTACAAAATCTAACACTTTTGTTCTTTTCTATTTCAGTAAAGCCATTGGTCGTGCAAATTTTGACGAAGGAGCCTCGAGTTTCCGCTGACAAAAACTACGAAGTGGAGTGCAGGACAAGTGGTTCTAGACCGGAACCAGTAATTACTTGGTGGAAAGGGGACAAGCAGATTAAGAAAATAGCGCAAAACGTAAGCTTTGTCGAGAATAAATTTCCAACAATTTCCGCAAATGCCGATTAAAAGCGTACATTTATTTTATAGAGGATTTATTATGGAAATATTGTTCGCATTGCAACGACGAAAATTGGTTCGTTCTTTATTCACGTCGTAATTCTATCGAACGAGTGGATTACAATGCCCGTAGAGAAAGAGAGAAAAAGAGAGAGAAAGAAAGGGAATGCATTGATATTAAAAACAATGTGTAACATAATTCGCGATAATTAAAAACGTTCCACTGTCAGTAATTGGAATTTTGCAAAATCCAATAGCGCGCGTCGTTCTGTCTTTAATACAATTTCTTGCGACCAATATTCTGATTGGAGCCTTGTTATTTCCCTGGTTCAAAATTGTTTATCTCGCTTTATAAAATCGGCCCACTTTTTTCAAGAAATAGCATAAAAAAATGTATATCATTTTGATGGCTATTTCTTATACTTGAATATATATTTTTAAATTGTTTTTATTTCAATAATTTATATCATCACAATAATTACAATCGAGGGAAAAAGACATATCAATCTCAATTTTTTATTTTTCCACAATTTTCTAATACAATACCGAATAGAATCGTATCAGTTAAAAGAAATGCGATTTTATATCGCATCTCGTATGAACATAAAGTTTCCTTCGATTTACTTTTCTCTTTCGAGCTATATTTATTTTCTCTCAACTCTTTCGTCTCTTATCAATATTTTGCACGAAAAATATATTACCCCGAAAAATATATTCGCAGAAATTTCTCCACCGCAACAAAACGTTTCCATTTCGACACATTTATCGATCTCGTTTTGGGAACGAGCCTCGACAGCATTCAGGTTGCGAGTTAGAGGAGAAAAATACAGAACGAAAATAAAGTCACGAGTTTTACGGAATCAGCAAATAGCGAAAATCGCTAATCGAATCGACCACGTTAGCGGTTTCGAGTTTTCAAGTTCCACGCGTTATGTGCACCTTCAGCTTCGTGACGCGATTCTAAGGAGAATTCGCGAAATTGACGAGTTATTCCAGTTCGCAACGATTCATCAGGAAGTTGGTGCAATGAAGTTATTTCGTTTTTTTCTTTTTTCTTTTTTTTCAACAACGGTCTGCTTCTTTTTTTTTTTTTTTGCGTTACGATCTCGACACCGGAAGTGACGAAGTAGAAGTTCGAATCTATCGGAATACTTCTTTTTCCTCAACTCGTTCCACGCCTTTCTCGAAATAAATTACGAAAGACCTTTCCTTCGTTTTTTTTTTTTATTTGCAACGAGATTTTCCCTCCATCGTAATCGCACGAAAACAGAAAACCGAATCTTTCGTATTTCGCGAAGCAGAAATTTTTCCCTTTTTATACAAGTTTCCGGTCAGTGTTTGAATTTTGCTTCGTTCTTGCGGTATATAAATATATATAAGAGGAAGTTTCGCGTGAAAAATTGTGCGAAATGAATCGAGAAATGCGAAGAGTGTTATCTGTGATATAATAAATGAACTTTTGCGTGAATTTTGAAAATTAATAGTTGAGTTTTATTTAATGTAGAAATGTTGCCGAGAAAATTATCCTGGAATGACAAATGCTTTTATTATTATCAATATTGAAATTGATCAATAATTAAATTTATTAATATAATTGTACAACTATCTTAATAAGCTACGTTCGTCCCGTATAAATACCTTTATTCTCGTTCAATTTCCATAATTATTTTAAAATAGAACTTATCTCTGATCCTTTTAAAATGTTACGGCTTATCTAACGTTCTACTGCATTAATTTGTGCCAGTCATTGCTTATTTAATTTACAACCACATTATTTCATGTCCATCGGCTATGCACATTTGCATTCATGTTTAATCACGTATTTTATCTTTATTATTTTGCATGAAAAGTCTATCGTATTTAAAGATACAAAAAAAAATTGATAGTTTGAAAATTGTGATACAACTAATTATGTCAAAAAAATATTTCTAAACATCAGGAAATACCTCGTATTCGTTATCAAATTCAATCCTTCCCTCTCAATATCATCTTAACTAACCATAATGAACGAGGAAGCATCATCATCAGCATCAAATGACACTTTTTTTCATCGACGAATCCGCCAAAAGTTCGTTCCAATCATTCAAATCCCTGATTTACGTGAAGACGTATTCGCAGAACAGCGTAACATTTCCCGCATGCTTCGGTCATCTCGCTAAAGAATAGATAGATAAATTATGTGAATCCATAACTCGATCGAGGCGTCATCTGGCGCAGAACGGGAAACGTTATAAAGCGTGGCGAAACCCATGAAAGATTTGATTTATTTCCGCGTTGTCCGCGGAAGAGATGTCCGCAATTTCTGAGCGGATAAAGTTTCAGCTTTGGCGCGCATCCTGTCCAACACGCACGATCTCCGCTGTGAAGATATATCGGCGCGGATGTTCGACCATCTCGCGGACCTTTATCGAGAAATTCGATCGTGCCGCGACTATGCGAATCGAACGAGCTGATAGAGATTCACGGTTGGAGGAACGAGAGAGAGAGAGAGAGAAAGAGAGGAACTGTCAACGCCGTGACAGAATGGGAGGAGAGAAATAGGACGAAATAGACGAAGAATGACGTTGGTCAGTAGCAATGGGAACAAAATTCGGCATAAACTTATATGGATAGAGATTAAATTCAACGTGGAGGATTCATTTCGTAGAATTCGTTGTCTTGTAAATTTTTTCTTTCACGATTGTTTAAAAATGATATTTTATAAAGCCTGAAGATGCATATCTCTAAAGAAATTGAAAAAAAAAAAATAATGGAACGTATATATCTAATTATTTATTATTATTGAATATGATTTATCGATTATATTTTCCTCTTTTTTTTTGGAAGAATATTGATAAATAAATAAATAAATATTACTGAAATAATTTTAAGAGTTAGAAGAAATTGAAATGAAAAATATATTAAATCGATTCTAAAAATAAACGATGATAAGCGACGTGCAACTTTAATTTCACCGAGTTACCGTGTTTGCGATACACTTGATCCCATCACTACCGGTCAGGCAGGATTGAAAAAAGAAGGAACGAAACAGAGAAAGAGAGAGAGAAAGAGAGAGAGACGACATTCATCCTGACGAACCGTTAGCTCCATTCATCGTGCTCGTGATACTCGGTGCGAAATACGCGGCTTTTCTCGATATGTATGCTTGTATGGTGCTATCATTAAAATGACATCGCGGAAACGGAAGGTTACGCGGCGTGCAATAAAAGAAAATAGAAAAACTGAAAACCAAAGAGACAGTCATCGACCCTGCCACCCCTACACAGGGGAGGGGGTTACATTTTCCTCACGCGACTGCATCGTAAATTCTGAAAAATCGTTAATCTCTTTTTCAACTTGCCGCCGCCGCTTCGCCCCTTTATTTTCTCATTTCCCTTGCGCTGTGCCGAATGGATTTTCGTATTAAACCGGTGACAAATCGCTTGGATGCTTTCGTTTACGAGGCACGGCGGACCATGGCTTGCGAAATCTGTTTACCTGTTTCGTTGACGTCAAATCAGTGGCGTTAATCTTTGCGGGATTTTGGGGGATCGAGGTAAGTGGTGGATGATGGGGTTAATGGAGGAACGTGCGGGGTGGAAAGTGTTTGCGAAAGAGGATGTATATACCGAGTATTACGACGAGAGAAAGAGTTAGATGAATTAAATTAAATCAAGATGATTTTATCCTGTTAATGTTCATAATTGTTAATTGTTTGAAATTTTTGATAATGTAATTTAATATAGATCTTATTTCCTTAATTTTATCTGATTATATAGAATTTAATCACGTTTTAAAAGAAACTATTATTCTTCTTTAATTCTATTTTATTAATTTCATTGAGGTATATTAATATTTGAACATTAACAGAATAAATCATCTTGATTTAATTTAATTCAGAGCATCTAATATCCCAATCTGTTACTTTGTGATAGAAATATTTAAATTAGTTATGAATACGAGGCATTTTGTAACAGGAAAGTAAAAATTTTAAAAATCCACTTCACAATGGATACTTATTTTACTTTTATTACAAAAAATAAAAATTGGAATTTATGATATTTATGAATCACCTTAACAAATATTAATAGATATCAATTTGACTCGCATAAAAGAAACATAAGTATCAATAGCGAAAATTCAATCAAATTCATTTCATATTTAAAAATATTAATTCAATTTTATATTATCTCGTGCTATTTATCTTCCGTAAGAATTATTCATCTTATTAAACCATTCTTCTAATATAAGTTGAACTAAGAGGTATGTTTTTATTGGCAGTACGCGCTGGAAAATAATCAGACTCTTAGTATCCTGAGTTTCGTGCCAAGCATCGACGACGACGGCAAATACTTAACCTGTCGGGCGGAGAATCCTGTTATTCCTGAAAGCGCTTTGGAGGATAGGTGGAGGCTGGACGTGCAGTATCAGCCTGTGGTAACTCTGAAGATGGGCAAGACCTTGAATCCAGATGATATCAAAGAGGGTGACGACGTCTACTTCGAGTGCTCGGTCAGGGCTAATCCGAAAGTGTACAAGCTTGCCTGGTTTAAGGATGTAAGTCTTGACATTCTATAGGTTTAAAAGGTTTTGCAAAGATAAGGTCTTGGCTCGATTTTAAAAGCATTAAAAATATAATGTTTATGCTTTTTAGTCAGTATAATTTTTTTTATTTTAAACTCAGCAATGTACAATTAGAAAGTTATTGAATATCTTTTATAAAAATTTTATTTTATTTATTCCTTGTTCTATCTATTATTTATAGAAATTAACTTAATAAAATTTAATCTATAATAAATTAAAAAAATTAATGTAAAATTAAATGTCTTGTATCCATTACTACTCTTATAAAAGAGTATTTCTGAAATTAAATAGCATTACTTGTTTCAGGGCAGAGAGCTTAAAAACAATGCCACGGCAGGTATCGTCCTCAGCGATCATTCTCTGGTTCTTCAGCGTATAACTCGATACTCGGCAGGTGATTACACTTGTCTCGTTGCCAACAGCGAAGGGAAGACTGCCAGTAATCCGGTGACTCTTCAAATAATGTGTAAGTTCATTCTGATTTCTCCAATTTCTTCCATCCATTCTTAAATAAATATATTAATTCGATTATAGATTGAAATTTTAAAATGTTAAAATCGAATGAAATATAAAGAGAATACAATTATATCCAGTAAATATTATATTATTTCATTTGAAATCAACGGAAGATCTTTTTGCTTCTCATAAAATAATTATTTTCGCGAATAAATTCATTATTAATCGCGCAGTAAGAGTAAGAATGTAAACGAAAACTAAACGAATCGAATCGAAATATGATAAATCAATATGGCTTCATCAGTTCACTTTCTCTTACTTTAAACGAATCATCAATTACCAAATAACTCACTCGCATTCCCTAACATAATCGATTTACGCGATTATCCCGTCGATTCACGATCCGTATCCAACACAATCGGACAATGAAACTTCACTGAAACAACGAGTCGAGTAAAATTCCAGCCAAACAACGGCCCAACACCGTTCTCCTTCCGCGTTAACACAAAAGCGGGCCGACTCGATCTCGAGCCCTCGTTAATCACGAGAACAACGGAAGAGGTCGCGAATAGAATTACGGCCACGGGCTTGATATTCTCCCCTCGAAATTCTCTAATTTGCCCCTGCTCGATAATTACTTAATCGATGGCAAGTAGAGTACTGCGTATAACCGGGATCGAGTAGAGGGGGGAGGGAGGTGAGGATCGGTGTGAAAGGAAGCGTGAGTGGGTGGCGACGAGGAAGAAGAGACGGAGGACAGGTTGAGGATAGTTTTCTGTAAAACGCACGACACCAGTTATTCTATTAGAATGGTCGGTGATGGTGGCGGCCCGGCGTATCTGCATCTTGTAAATGACCTAAGAGGGAAGGAAGGACTGCGATGCATATTCAATGTATGTAAAGCGTAACTGAATATTCATGTGTGGGTGAACGCAGCCTGGCAATGTGCTAAGCCAGGCTGGTGGGGGGAGTTAAAGGGAACCGCGGATTCATCCTAATGTTTTAAGCCATCGCGCCGTGTCGTCGTTTCGACTGTTGACATTGATCCTTGGAGTCGAGTCGCGCAGTAAGAGTCCCTCAAGAATTTCGCGAATTCGATTAAGATCTTAAAATGTTGGCAATTTTTTATGCTTTTAGGTATACAGGAAATAAATATTCGTAATTCCAAATTATTAATTTAAATCTGCAGTAACGAAGTTTAATCGTGAACAGTGATTAAATATATATTATAAAAAAAAGTATGAGGTTAAATTTACATGTTCTTTTGTATGTTAAATTAGAAAAAGCAACAAAGGTATTCTAATAATTTCTTATTCTTTGAAAAATTATACAAATAATTAGATATCATTGTATACCAAATCTCAACGCAATTAATTCGACGGGTTAATTCGATAACGTGCGACTCTCTTGCGAATCGTAATCCTTACGACAAGTATAAGACAATATTATACGCATCTTGATTAAGATGAAAGGATTAATAATGCTTACTAATTAGTAACCGTGTGTTCCACTCGACAAATGCGGCCCGGTGATACGTCGCGTTCCCAGTTATCGTCGACTTCTCGTATTAGTAATTAATTCGGCAGTGCATCAAACGCATCAGATTGAAACCAAGCCGTCTGGTGATCCCGCGCTTCCGCCGTAAATCATCCCTCGTGCCATTTGGAATTTCCGTATGCCATGGCCTATTGCAAATACCGATGTCAAGGGAATTTCCTATTAGGCGATCGATCGAAACCGCTCGGTCGGTTCAATGGTGTCGAGCTTCTTCTTCCGTTTCACGCGCCTCACATTTGGATATTAAACGCCCCCTCGAGCGAGACGTCTTCTCTATTTGCCACCCATATCGATCATAATTTCTTACGCTCGGATGGAGCACGTTATGGGTGAAGGTTGGGTTAGGTTCTAATTTGTTAAAGGATTGCGGGTAATTCCGTGATGTTTTGAAAGGAGGTGGATACGGAGTTTAGTTTGTGCAGTTGGGGGAACGTGAGATGATGAATGGGGCTAAGCTAGTGCTAATTTTTAAAATTAATATATGAATTATCGGTTTGCCGACCAACTAAAGAATGTTTTTCTTAGGTAGTGATTACACACATTGGCTTGAACGTTTGTGTATGTAAATTTTCGCGGGAATTAACATTTTATAATGGAAATTAGGAGAAATATATTTATCGTATAAAAATTTTAAAAATAGTTAAAAATTATATATAAATCTTCAATAATATAAATATAAATATAATATAAATCTTCAATATCAACAGTTAGAAAGAGAAATATTTTCTAAGAAATTATTTATAAGTTTCATTTTTTAAAGAAAACGTGTATATCTACTGCGTATCGATGGATTTCAATTAATTAAAGAGCAAACATTTAAGGATTATAATGCAGCGTTCGTATATCGAATCCTTGCTACCCAATTAAACGGATCTAAGAGGTAACGATAACTAATTCGCTCGAAAACAATTAATTTTCTGCACGAATACGTGCTCGAGCGATAAGTGATTACCTCAGCAACTGTCGAGTTGCATTCGAATTGGTTAAATTGCAATGGGACGATATCTGCATAGACATTGAAAGGTAGCTTATACCGATGCGCTGTCCAACTTATCCCTGTATTAGGTCAATTGGATCCGGATGACTGTTTCAGTTTGTTATATTGTACGGCTTCGGATTTGTAATGCACGTTCAATCACATTAAAATATAATTTCATGTCGTTTCACGGTATTATTGTGTTTTGACCGTTGATACATTATTTCTATTATTCGTTCTTCATACAAAACGTGGAAATAATAATAGTATACGTTTAACACTTCAGTTCTCAAAATATTATTCTATCTCCCCATTTCAATTTTATCTAACGCAAACTTAAACTGCTTTTAACTTAATAATATTTTGGTCCCTAGAATCAATCTTCTAAATATATATAAATTTTGTCATATGAGAATAACATTTTCTGTAATGGTTTCCAGAATTAGACTAATTGTAACATGGCAAAACCAATGTATCGTAAATCTAGTCTTCCTTTAAAGTGCTTTTCCCTTCACTCCATTAACTCTTGGCCAATTTTAAGAAGGATCCTTTCAAATAATAACCATAACAAGCTTGAACATTGCCAATTTACATCGATTCATCCTACGTATGTGTATAATAATTATTATTACACAATATTATTATATTGTGTTAATAAAAAATTGAAGAAAACAACAAGATCGCAATTACACAATTGAACAATTTCGTTCACAGATACCCCGGTGTGCAAGGAGGGAAGGGGCGAGGTGGTTGTGGGTGCGCTGAAGCAAGAGACCGTATCGTTGGTTTGTTCCGTGGAAAGTCATCCAGCACCGTTGACTTTCCACTGGACATTCAATAATTCTGGGGAGCTAGTTGAAGTCCCTCATCCCCGTTACTCCCATGTGGCGGCGGTCGGGACGCCGTCTGTCGCAGAGAGCCTGAAGGAGTACCAACAATTCCACGGGCCCAGGTTGAACTATACACCCGCAACGGAAATGGACTACGGCACGGTGGCATGCTGGGCGAGCAACCAGGTTGGCAAGCAACGGACGCCATGCCTCTTTCAGGTGAATGCAATTTCTCTTATTTCCCCATCTGTTTGCCCTCCAATTTTCGAAATTGTTGACCACGCGTTATGTTCATCATGCTTGTTATTATTTGAATTTATATTGGATTTAAGTTTGAAACGGTGTTTGTATGGTTTCGAAAGTAAGAATGAGGAAGATATAGGATGCTTTTAGAATTTTAACTATTGATCTGTCTATTTCAATCATTTGTTGCTTTTTTTTTAATTTATTTCTTAATCTCATTCGAGGAAAAGTAATAGTCTGATCAATAGTCTGTGTAAATGAAAATTCTGATCAATAGTTTGAAGTAATGATAAATTGGTTTTTCTTATATACTTTATGGAGAGAACTGATTCGTTTTATACTTGTGGCATTTTATGGAAACGAGAAAGAAGTAATATATATCAAAATCTAATATAAAAAATTAGCAAATCGTTCATTAAAATTATAAGACATTAATAAAAGAAACTCATGATACTTTTATTTTACAAATAATATATTTTTCATTTTTATCTTTCATCACCTTTCATCTGAATATTGTAAAAAATTCTTTGACTTTTCCGAACGAACTTGCACGTTTCGAGCATGAACACGTTTCGACCATTTTCAAAGTGATGTTAGTTGCAATCGTGTGTGCACGAGTTACATTTTCCAAAAGATCGGAGGAAAATGAAACTTGATACATGGCTCTAGCCTCGCCAACAGAGAAATGCAATTTTTGTATTTAAGGATGAGTAAATATATACGTGCCTAGTTTTCTTGTAAAATGATAGAAGATAAAAAAAAAAATTAGGAAATTACCATTTCCCTGCTAAATTTTTCATATCGATATTCATATTAATTCATTCATGTAAGCAAATGTTTCTAGTAATGAGCGACTCTATGATAATACATATCGGTTTCAATCAACCCCTTTAATCAAGCTCTATCAATTAATCAAGTCAACGCAATATCGCATGATTGTTACATTGATCTGTTCAATCTAAAGTCTAGTTATATCGATCAGAAGATACACTTACGTCTGAACTATCGCATAGATGAAAAGAACTATTTTAAATTCGTGCCCTATTGAAATTCCCTCCATAAATTCCACATATTTACAGATATTAAAACGATTATTCAAAGCATCGCTTCCAAAAAAAGATATACGAATATTTAGAAAGAAATGTTTTAAATAGAATTAAAACAACATTACATTCGTTTCAACGTTTCCATGGAAATAAAATATTCTAAAATACATTCGTACCATTTAGTCTGAACATCTTTCAGACATATTTCATCCCATTCGGGAAAGATTAAACGAAGCTCCATGAATCGTAACGCAAAACATTGTCGAACTCGATCAGATTCAAACGTCCAACATACATTATTCAGCAACGAGCGACCATATTTTCCAGGTGATAGCCGCAGGACGTCCGTACGCTCTGCATAACTGCACAACGACGGAAATGTCCGCGCCTTTGGACTCGGAGGAGTTGAGCGCGAGATCCGGTACGGGACTGATAGTTCGCTGTTTGGAGGGTTACGATGGCGGTCTTCCGATCTACAGCTACCAGTTGGAGGTGGTCGCGGACGAGGATGGCGGGCCAATTTTGTTGAACAAAACTGTGCCGGCAAACCCGAACGGACCGACTTTCGAGGTGGCGGGCCTAACCACGGGAAGGAGTTATCGACTTTTTCTATACGCGATTAATGCAAAGGGGAGGAGCGAGCCTGCCATTCTCGAGCCAGTGACCCTGAAGGGTGTCGCCATGTACACGACCGGTGAGTGCATTGACTTTCTAATACGTGGCGGATTTACCGGAACCATTTGACATATGTCAAATTGCTATTGTAATTAGAAACGATTCTTCGCGTCAAACAGCTATTTCCTTCGAGTATTTCACGCTCTGTGCTCTGTGCATGTTACATTTACATGCATCATCGAGATTTGTGGGACAACTTGTCGAATTTATAAATATAATAAATTCAAAGATTATTCGGAGATAAATTTTTATCACGATAATTTTTTCATGCTTGTTCGCGTAATTTGATATCGTTTATTCCAAAAAAATTAATATAGATTGGAAAAGATCATTGCAATATCATGTATTTATAATATACATAAGCATATAAACATAAAAATGTGAAATTATATCACGGCATTAGGTCATTGAGATCACGTTTTCGATTTTTAATGTAAAAATCGTGACGAAGAATGAAGAATTTTATCATCAAAATTAATGCAGGAAGTAGAGAAAACTGTACCATTGAAGCTGCTTTTTGTTTTATCCCGATATCTCAATCGGTTGCCGAGATATAAGGCTTCAAAGATTATGAATAAGATCGTGGCCCAGTGACCTACATTTTTTCCCTGGAAGTGCGTACTAAGCATTTTTCCAGGAATCGCGTCTGTCGCTTGTCTGGAATTTCGGGTAGGGCAGTGAGACGAGGTGCGAGCGAGAGGTCCGAGTAAGCAATAAGGACGGAAATAATAAATAGTTAAAAATTACCTTTTTCTTTACACGACGATATCTCGGGAACCGGAAGTCGTATCGAGATAAA